CTAAAGCATTGTAATTCAACATTGGATGGTATTCATACTCACATATTCCCTGGTTAAAAGTAGGATGGTGCTTCATCAGCGCGTATTTGACAGGATCGCCGAAACAAAAACAAAGTATTAGCAATTTACTTGTAACATGTTATAAATTAAAAAGTGGAAAAATATGTCAGGTATATTTCTTTGCAACAAACAACTCCTCATAAATGGTAATCAGTGCAACTGATTGAACAGGAAATGTGATTGATGAAATTTACTGTATAACTTTAATAAAGGATTCACACCATCTTTTGGAAGTACCCAGATAATCCAAAGCAGTGCTTGCTTTTACCAAAACCAGGCTAAAAACAAACGTAATTAATTTGTTTGTTATTCATATCAACTTTGCTTCCTTAAATTTTTGTATAAGGATCGCAGTACAAGCTCTTGGAAAAGTCAATACAGTAGATTTGCGAAGGTATCAAAATTGGCAAAAGGTTTAATTTTCACATTTCTGTCTAAAAAAGTAGGTATTGTAAAAGGAATTTTAAAATCAAAGCTGGTGTGAAGGTGATCATTTATTAAAAGTTATAAAGCAAAGTTTAGGTAAATGAAAAAAACTAAAAAGAATGAAATTCTACCTAACCCAGGTTAGCTTTGTTAAGAATCTGTCACTACCTAAAAAAATTTCTAAAACACCTCATGAGAAACCTTGCTAGACTAATTTAAGTGTACTCTGTCTTAAAAATTTAATAATTATATTTCCTGAAGATAAAGAAACCTGAGCTAAATGGTAGACATAACCTAAAACAATACTGAAGTCTATACATACCTATTTTAAACCTGTTTTCATTGGTTGATCCTGCAATTCTTTGAAATGACTACACTCAGAAAAACACCTCTTACATTAAATATAAAACTGGCTCTATTTTATTCAACTGCTCTATACATAAAAAACACTCACTGATTAAAAAATGTGCACTGAACACGTAATGAAAAAAGAATCAGTAAAAATGCATTTAATCCTAAATAATAATTACCTACCTAGAATTAAAACTGCGATAAAATCTGGCTAAATTTCAATAACTAAAAAAAATTCTGCCTGCAGTCACCTGTCCAATAATACACCAAAAACACTATTCCTGACTTAACAATTTTATTGCAATACACAATATGTAGTAGCTAAGACTAACACATAAACCTAGATCTATTCAGAGAATCATTTATGTGAAAAATGAAAGGACATATATTAACTACAATACACACTGCACCCTTAAATAGGCTTTCCTCCTAATGACTTGACCTACACCTATTGTGTATGCACGTCAAACCACAGGGCTAACCGTGTTACGAATAATTAAATTATTTGGAACAATAATGTTTATGGACTGCGATATGAATATAGTACATCTGATCCTAAAAGGGCCACAGGTTTCCTGTTGAACTTACATTTAAAATCGTCTGTTGCCGGGACCCATTCCGTTTTGGTTTCCATAACCACCACCGCCTCCATAATTACCGCCAGGATTGCCACCGCCTCCTTGAAATAAAACAGACCACTTAAACCAGAGACTTGTTATAACTAGACTGCGCTTAAAGTATCTAAGGTGTTGTCGACACAGTATGCAACACACAATGCACTGCGGGGCAAAAATCGCTAAGATGATGTGCAATATAATGAAATAAGCTGTTATTTTAGATGTTCCGTCCATTAATAATTCTTGTGATTAGCTCGAATTAGTGAACAGATAAATTTCTGTTGAGAATAAACCAATAAACTTAGGTTAACTCGTGCCTATCAACATGTACTCTGTCGATAAATTTTTAAATAATATGCTGATTTTCAACAGATAAAAGTTTAAAGGGCCAATGGATCAGAGCCATTCGAAGAGAAAAATGTACTCCCACCATAGTGCATTTGCGGGGAATGAAGCCGATTTTAGAAAGGTACCGACAAAGGTGTTAAACAATAATGCAATACCGAACGTTTTCGACTTTCCCATTCAGTTAAAATAACGTAGAACTATTATTCGACATCCTTTACCAGCAAGACAACAGCAGTACCTATTTGCCTATTAGGTGTTTTCTTACAAGAAAAATAGCTAAGTCTATGTTCCATATGTGCAAGCGCAGATGCGATATTCGGATCGGAGAGTCAGTCAAAGCTTTTAACTAGAAAAAATCGTGAAGGATTGTTGCACGTATCAAGCGATGCATTAAAAATTTGCCAAATTGCTGAAAATGTGTTCAGGTTTTTCATTCAATCCACACCACACCGCGTTGTAAACAAAATGGTTATCAGCAGTCTAAGAAAAACAAATAACAGTTACAGCCCATTTGGGTTTTTGGGTAGGAATATATTGAATCAAAATCCGCTAAATAATCATATCTTACTACCTACAAGTTTAGTTTTAAGAGTATATTTTCCCATACGTGTTCACGACCAAAATACACATATAAATCAAATTAGGACTAGAGTAAGGCAGTTATATACCAATTTAGTTCAAATAAAATACTAATAAATTCCATTAAAACAGTTAACAGCTATATGTTATCTTTTTTTGCTACTAAAATTTAGAATAAACATGGCTAAAGCAAGCTACAGAACGTACGTCTGCCCCGCGATGAACAGTTGGTTGCCTATCCTATCTTGACAACAGGCGTTTATAGTAAAATCTACGTTACGCGCGGTCTAGTTATAACAAGTCTCTGACTTAAACATGTTGCTGCTGCTTGAAATTGATAATCAACTATGCCAGAAGAAATACTTTGCATGTTTTATACATAGGGATGGGTTTAGGCAGTCCTATGTTCTAATTTAATTTTAAGATACATTATAATTGGAATTTTAATATAAATCAATATGCCTTTATAAAACATAGGATTGAGAACAAAATTTAACATTTTAAAACACAGGATTAGGCAAAAGTATTGGAAACTAAAGATGCTTTGTTCATTTAATGACATCTGTTTGGATCTCAGACATTTTGATTGGCAACATGAATTTTTTTATTGACAATGTATATTTTTCTAGAACTTTTTTTTGTTCGCACATTTTTGAATTAGGTAAATATTTAAAAAATAAAGAAGTGTCCATACTTTTCCATAACCCTGTACTTATACATCAAAATTAATGAAGTTTTTCATTGATACACGTCATTACATTACATTTGGCAACTTACCATAGGGGGCTGGACGATTTGTTTGATAGTTACTTCTCATCGCACCGCCTCCAAAGTTTTGCTGATATCCTCCACCAAAGCTATCATTGGTCGGTCCCCAATTACCACCGCCGCCCCCACCTCCGTAACCTGCTGGGCCACCTTGGTTATTTCCCCAGTTTCCACCTCCCTGGTTGTCCCAAGGATTTCCACCTCCAGACCAACCGCCTGTGTTATAACCTTGATTTGGCGGCATATTATTCCAATCACCACCTCCACCACTTCCTCTGTTCGGTCCACCCCATGTAGTACCTTGGGGACCGTTATTAAAATTACCACGATTTCCTCCACCTGAGCCACCTCCTCTGGGACCACCCCGTGGACCGGCACTACCAATAGGACCACCTGCATTTGGCCCTCCCCCGCCTTGCGCACGTTCCATTTCAGCTTTGCTTAAAGCCTTTTTTACATCAATGTGTTTTCCATTTAGTTGGTGGCTTCTCTGTACTGTGAAAAATAAACTTTTGTATTACACACAAAAGGCAGACGTAAAATAGAGCACCATATTCTTAAAGCTAACATAAAGTATACTCACGACAAATTTTGTCAACAGGATCATAATCATCAAACTCTATAAAACCAAAGCCCCTCTTCTTCCCAGATTCTTTATCGGTGACAATAGTACATGATAATATTGTGCCAAAATTTTTAAAATGTTCTCTTAAGTCGTCTTCTTCAACATCTTCCTTTAATCCTCCGACAAATAACTTCTTCACTGTTGCACCGGCTTCGGGACGGCCAATATCTTGTCTGGGAACAGCTCGTTTAGGTTCGACTACTCTTCCGTCAACTCTATGCGGTCTAGCATTTTGAGCATCATCTACCATTTGCGCTCGTGAATATGTAATAAAACCAAACCCGCGTGACCTCTTTGTTTTTGGATCCTTCATAACGACAACATCCACGATCTCACCCCAGTGTTCGAAATGTTTCTTTAAAGAATCATCCGTTGTCCGATAATCTAATCCTCCAATGAACAGCTTGCGGACGTGTTCCGGTTCGTTTCTTGCATCCTATTTTAAAGAAATTGTTAGAACTACTGGAGTTTAAATGCTCTGATATATAAATATTTTCCATTCCATTTAAATACATAGGTACAGTACTCAAAATTGAAATACGCAAAATTAGGTGTGAAACTTACATCGTCTTTCTTCATTTTCTGTATGTAGTGTGAACACGAATACACAAATTAGAGCAAATTTTAGGTAAGTAAATAAAGCAATTTTCCAACAAACGTAACTTTTTTGTATAAATTCAATATGGAGAAAGCGTAGCGTCGTTCTGGGATGACAAAACTGCTGACGACTCGCTAATGCGCAAACCTGACAACAACGGAGCCCTCTATATGAAAGCGAGGGAAATTTAAAGTTATAATATACAAATTCTATTGAATTTATAAGTTATAACTATTCAATGTTAGTAGTCAAATTAGACCTAAAAAATAAAAATGATAAATGATTACAAAAAAGTCTGATAGAAGGTTTTATTTTCAGACTTGTTTAAATTGTAAAGAGAGAGAAAAAACTAATGCTGGGGCTACACCTGCAGTTTTAGAGCGTAATCTGGGCGGTATAATTCCTCCTAGCGCGACACGCTTGGCGCTAAAAAGTAGAAATACTGGAAGCTGGACAGTACCATTGAAACAATGACAGTACATACAGAACAGAGTATGTAAAGTTGCCTATTGTCAATCGCCAAATTTGGCCATTTGTAATATCACAGACAACATATACTACAGACGGTCAATGCAATGCTGTAGAAATAAACGCAACACCTAATAGAGTACGGTTAGTGTGTTGTCTATGAGGCGCCGTTTGGGTCAAAATTAAACTTTGCACATGATAAATATTATTCCATATTATATATAAAATTTTGCATGCGATATAAAATATTTGTAGTTTGGTGAAATGGCGCGATATAATGAGGGCGCTAGTACTAGCGCGCAGGACGTAAACAAAACACAGTTCCCGCGACTTTCAGTGATCAGCTGTTTCGTAATTTCGTGGTGCACGTTAACGTTATATTTTCAAATAGGAAGTTTGCAGGACAATGCTTTAATAATTCATGATTAAAATATGTTGTATGTGCTAATTGTTGTTACCTATGAAACTATCGTACATTCGTACACAAAAGTAATTTGATTGATTTGATTGTCAGTAGATTTTAAATGTGAACAGTGTGATAACGTAACTATAATTCTAATTTTGCAAGGCCTGTAAAAAATACCACCTTATCTAAAGTTTTATTTAAATAAATACAAGCTGTACCATTATTAGTCATTTATGAAAATTGTACCTAGGTATAGTATCTACCTATCTATTTATATCAATATATACCTCTTGGTAATGAGCTGATTGCAAAATGTGTGTGTGTGTGTGTGTGTGTGTGTGTTACAAAATGAGTAACATGGTGACAATTTGGAGTTGTTTGCTTTTATTAAACATACATATATAAACCTACAAAAATTCGCCAACTTTTAGGTTACAAAGGTTATGCCATGCACACTGAATCAAGGTAATCTAAGCACTTGATCCAATTTTCGAATAGATCTGGTAAAATGGTGCTATAGTACAATTTTCGTAAATGCACTGATCTGATTGGTTGCTTGGTTTGGTTTGGTAATTATCAAAATAAGATCTCAAGCCTAGTTCTTTCAACCAACTAGTACAAAAGATGAATATTGCCGAATATTTTGAAGATTTCATATCTGATTATGAAAAATGCTACCGACAACAGTATGACCAAGATATTAGGCTTGTGGACGAATATATATTGATTCTTGAAAATCATCATTTCGTATTAAACGCATTGTCGGAAAATGTTCAAAATGAACCAGTAAAAGAGAAACTTGATCAAATGCAAATGGCAGTATGGAGTCTGTATTCCAAATTAGAAACTTTATTTGAAGGTTAGTGCCTACGAAATTATGGGGCCTGTACACTTTCAATACTATTGACAATAATCTTAATTCAATATTGTCAAACCATTCGATATTGATGGCTAGATTTCAAAATTTCTAGATTTAAATTCCCTTCCCCAAACCATCAATATAAGTACCTACTGAGGAGGAAAATATTATCAATTGACAATTATATAAAATATTGTCAGTAATATTGCTTGAGTACTGTCCGCTTTAGATCTTCTATAAAATTCCATATTTACTCAGTAATTTTTATTCAACATCTCAGACAGGCCAAGTAGTGACCCTCAACACACACGTTATACACCAACAAGTGTACGAAATGGCAGTGTTGGGAGACCAAAAGTTGGTATAACTTCTGAGCAAATATCTCTCTTGCGAAACGGAGGTTGTACATGGACGGACATTAGCCGTATGATGGGAATATCCCGAAGATCTCTATACAGATATAGAGAAATATTTAATTTAAACAAACGACTTATAGATGACGAGGAATTAAAGGCAACTATTCAGGAAATTCTAAGGCTAACTCCTGGTGCTGGAGAAGTGTACATTTTGGGATCTTTGAAGGGAAAAAATTGTGATGTGCCTAGATGGAGAGTTCGTGAGCATCTGAAGGAATTGGATGCAACAGGAAGAGCATTTAGAAAAAGAAAAACCATAACCAGAAGGATTTATCATGTAAAAGGGTCAAATTATTTATGGTGAGTTAAAGCAGAAATGCTTAGAACATTAGCTTTTATGATAATTAGAGGACTACATGCAGATTCAACATAGCAGGTTGATGTTATATGCACGTTCAGTGGCAGAAGTTTTTTTTCATCTAGCCAGGACTGTGGAACTATCAGTTCTGTATTGATCTAATTGCTGTCATCTATTCCTTGAATTATTGTAAAAGCATATTGATGATTTGTTGTACCTATTTGCAATAATGTGGGCTTTTTTATTTTATAGGCATATGGACTCCAATCACAAACTAGTCAGTTTCCGTTTTGTGTTCCATGGCTGCATAGATGGATATAGTCGTTTAATTATTTATTTGGAGTGCAAAGACAATAATAAAGCTAATACTGTTTTATCATTATTTGAAAATGGAACTGCAAAATATGGATTACCTAGCAGAGTGCGTGCAGATAGAGGAACAGAAAATGTGGAAGTGGCAAATTTTATGATTACCAGGAGAGGACTCAATCGAGGAAGCTTTATTACTGGAAGGAGCGTTCACAACCAAAGGATTGAACGTTTGTGGTCAGAAGTTAATAGAATTGTCTCAAAACAATTTAAGCAATTATTTTGGTATATGGAGGAAGAAAATTTGCTAGATGAACAAAATGAAATTGATCTCTTTTGTTTACATTATGTTTACTTACCACGAATACAACGTTCTTTACAAGAGTTTGTTAATCAATGGAATTTTCATAAGTTGAGTACTATGAAATCACATAGTCCTATACAATTGTGGAATACAAGTTATATAGAAGGTTGCAATTATTTATTGGAGGAAGACCCTAATTATCTGGAATGTGGAGAGTTATATGGTGTTGATGAAAGTGACCCACTTCCAACATTTGTAACAGAAAATAATGTTGTAGTTCCAGACTTTGATATCATACTGAGTCCTCAACACTTATCTGAAATTGAAAATGCAGTGCCTGATCCACTGATAGAGGATGGTTATTATGGAATAGCCCATTATATAACTGTTAAACAAATTATTCAAAATGCAATGGATAACCCTATGTAACTATGTTAGAAAATATGTGTAGTATGTTGTCCTAGTTGTTGTGTAACTTGTCGAAGCACTGTTGTATGATAAATAAAGGCTGAAAAATCTGATGTGGTGTGTCGTCTTCTAAATTGTGTCCTCTGTATAAAATGGATAATTCCATCAAACATGCATTGTGCTTGTTTAAAACTCATTAGTTACTTAACAGATTTGCCTCTGGTATGAATGATATTGTATTCCAAAGATCCCATTAAACTGCGTGTAATACAGGAGTAATACAAGCGAACATTGACCCACGTCAAACGAGTAGCAAGGAGACATCTTTTACATTGGTTTAAATGATGTATGCTTATTGCCTCAAGTCGCATGATTCTCACAAAAGTAAATATCCTTACCGTAATGTCATTTATTAGCCACCCAGATCACATTAATGGGGCTTTACGATAATTCAACTGGTTTAACCATGATGGTACGTTATTCTGTGTGGGGTGCCTGACTAGCCCTTAACCAGAAGTATGTGTCTAGGAGACACCTATCATATTTTGTTTGTTTACCTACAAGTACACAAGACATGATCATGAGCTCTGCGCCGTTCAGTATACCTTTGACCCTACATGTATTAGTGCCAATGTAGCTTTAGTTTGAGTAGATGCGTTTCAGTGCAATGGTGAGTTTAAAATAAAAGCGCAATGAAAAAATCGGACTAAGGTATACTGAGGAGTAAATGGCCCCGCCCCATCTCAAGACTCTTTCTTTGTTACAAGGAGGTACTGTGTGTAGGCAATCTGAAGGAAATATACCAAGGGTAACAATATTTATTTACTCTTTATGTTACATTAATCTATATATTGCCAAGGAACTTCCCTTGGGAACTTACAAAGTATTCTCTAAATTCTTCTCGTATTTCTCTTGCATTATTTGAGTAGTTATTACTGCCTTGTCCTAATCGTAATAAATGTTCTGTCTGCATTTCCTCATTTCTCCAACATCCATGAGTTATTTCACCATTTTCTAAATTTTCGAGGTCAAAACTACCTTCAGGAGCATAAGAGGTTCCAAAATATTTACGAGACAATAAATAATTATGTAAACAGAGCAGACGAGAAGAATAGGTTTCCTCAGTACTCTAAATACACTAGACATTATCCCAAAAAAGCATTTTCGACTATTCGTCGGGCTCATGAAAGGATATGGTTTCATGACATGTGGTTCCAACGGAAAAGCATCATCCGAGACACATAATTATCTTTCTGGAAGAGGGTTTTTTCTAGTCGGTTTGCTGCAGTTTCGATGTAATTCGAAATTCCACTAGCTCTGAAAACTCCCCCATCTGAAATTCTTCCATTGCAGCCAGCGGTGACAACGATGAATTTATAATCCGCATCAACAATATTGCCATCAATACAGAACTGTGCTGTCCTTTATAATTAACATAATAACATCTTTGAGTTTCTTCTTTCGATGATTCTTGTTCTTCGAGACTATAATTATTAGTTCGAGATCAAAATCATCCATGATCATATAAGTAATGATACTTCACTTGACTTTACATTAGTTATTCTACCGCTTTGACGGCGGCACTTTTCTTGTCGCATTTGTGACGTCACCCAACGTATTTTAACGGCCGCTAAAAGAAGGCACCGTTTTCGAGGAAATCGTAGCTTAATAAATCATCAGGCCACTGCGTGCCCATATGGGCAGGCAAAAGGGCTTTTGGCTGTACATGGGGATTTAATCTTCGGCTAGTATATTGACTTCAGACTGAAGGGATAAAGCTAATAGTACTGCACGGTGCGCTTATGTGGTGGCCTGCCATGCACAGGAAACACCTGAATAAAGCTACAGAGACTCACCTGTCTGGGAGTTACTGGACCATTGAAAACCACGCCAACTTTGACCATGGAGGCACTTCTGGGACTAAAGCCTCTACACTTAGCTGTGGAGGCGGAACCTTCCATATACGGCTGAAAGATTGGAGGGAGTGGAATGTCCCAAGCAGCCGTGGGCACGGATGGATCTGGGAGGAAACTCTCAAATCCAATCCCCTCCTCACATGAAAAGAGATGTGGTCCAGACTGTCTCGCATATGGTATACAGATGGATCCCAAACACAAGAGGGAAAGGGCATGGGTAATGATAATCGACCGAGAGCATAGCACCGTGTTTCAGGTAGAAATGATGGCCATCATGCAACCTATGCACAGGAAAACTTCAGTAGAGGGTACGAGCCCATGTGCAGAGGGAGATGAAACTACCGAGCATGGGACGCCTTGATCAGGGACAGACATCAGCTCCTTGGCGACAGGAGATGGTGAAGCAACTTAGGCTAAACAGGGTCCCATCTTTCATTGAAGAGAACAGGCTTTGAATCTAGCTGCGAGTTAACGAGGGTAAGCACAATGGGCCTCTGATGCGGCTAAGTGCTGCAAGACAGTACGAAAGTATAACTGAAAACCCGAGGTTCTACGGTATTCAATTATCAAGATATGTCGATTTACAAAAGGCGCCCGATCGAACGTATTGTACAAACGGCCGTTGTGCATGACTTGACAGATCAGTAGCTATTGGACTAAGGGATGCAGGAATAATACGATAGTACGCATATAATGCCGTAAACCCGCGGGAACCTCTACGGTATTCCGTTCCCGAGATCTCGATCGATTTATAAAAACTTAAGTGAAACTATAAGCTCCTTGTTTGAGAATCAAAAATGCGCTAAAAAAATTCAAATAATTGTTGTTTATTTCTGAATGGGGAGAATGGGGTTTTCATTCCGCATTGAAAATCTCAAAATATATCACAAAAATTCAAGTTACCATCGACAATTACCTTGGAAAGTGCTGAACCAACATGGCTCTCTGATAGCATGATTTGGAAAACAGACAAAGCTATAGGACTATAGATAAAGAAAGTATTTTGGTGTAAGATGTAACCAAAGGATTTTAGCTCACAACACCAAGAATCTGTCAGCTTGTTGTCATCACCCGACACCATATAGCGGTCCAGGTCATTGAACTCCACGGAAGGATGACTTATCCGATCCTCAAACAATACAAATTTATGGAGAAATTTTTATTAATTTTTAAGAGGCACTAGGATTACTTTTCGTAAACTTAATTTATTGATTATAGATACTATTCTAAAAATAATAATTGCACAATTGAATTCTTAATAAAAGTAATGGCCGTTTGCACCAACAAATTTAAGCTGGCCTTAGCTTAGGCGTAGCTTAAAATCCATGACAACGGTTATTGAAACAATGTTGTCATGGATCTTAAGCTACGCTTAGGGTAGGCTTGACTTAAATTTGTCAGTGCAAACGGCCATAAGAAACTTAGAAAACTAGGTAATATTACAAAACATTTTATGCAAATCCAAATTGCATGCCATTTAATATTGCATAATCCATATTACTCTTAAATTTTTCATATTCATTGCTTTTATAGGAAACTGGCAAATATAAAATTGGGACGCATGTATTTGCTTTTGGCCAGAGGAAGTCTTCGTTGTGCAAAAATTCTAATTTGGGTTGTCCGTCATAACCGAGTGGTGGAACCTTTTCAGAAGCCGTTGCAAAACATAGTACGTCTTCTAGAGTTGCTTGGGTTTCATTTTCTAAAAAAAACAGTTAAATGTAATACCAATTTATATTTTTTACCTTCACTATCGCATAAATAGTCATTCCAGAAAGTCAGTATTTTACACTCAATATTTCGGTTATTGCTTCCACTTTCGCTTAATTTTGTAGTGAAAATAGAAGAAACTTTATTAGCAGTGAGTTTAGAGTCGGTGTAGCACATTAACTCTTTAAATTCTTTAAAAACTTTCAATTTTTCTAAAAATCCTAATATGTTTAAGCCTTCCTTAAATTGTTCCAGGGCAGGCATGGTACGGTATATCAAGTAATGCTTTGGTGCACCTAAAAATATGCAAATTAATCTCAGAACAAGCAATACCACAAAAAACCCACATTCCAAAATGTTCTCTTTTTTAGTAAAATTGCTAATATTAGCAAATCCAGCAATGCTAAGAAAAGTACTGCTCCATACTGCTCGTTTTAGTTCTATTAGATTCGGTGCATTTTTAATATTTTCTAATTCTTCTTTTATTTCTGGGTTCATTATTTCATCAACACTCGGTTTAGTAGCTTCGATGCCGTTACTAATATAATTAAACAAAGTTTCTGATAAAAATTGGGGACCAGGTCCACCATGCATTAACGATAGCACTATCATTCTACCAGCTTCATAGTAGTGTCGATTATCTATATGTTCACTGCAAAGTGAAATATTTTTAGAATGTTCCGAGCCTTCAAACAATGTGCTATTTTTTAGATGTTTTAAGAGTAACCGGAACATTTCTCTAGTTGGTCCTCCCATGTCCACGGCCCCTTCTGACACATTGTCAATGTCCGTAAATAAGACTGATATTCTCTTGCAAGGAGAAAATTGCTTTCTTCTCACACCACGAATAAAGCAATTGAATATGTCTTCTCTAAAGACGTTAAATTGAAATGTTGTGTCCTGATCAATTTTGTTATGGAACTGCTTTAATGTGCTCAGCAACGTTTCTTCCGCAGTCTCTTCAATGGTTTTTTCTGCCACACTCCTTGCTATGGCCAGTGTAGTGTCATGCTCGAATATTTCATCAAAGGACTGTTCTACAATACTGGTGAAGTTATCAGGAGAATCAGCAGTTTGCTTAGGGCTTGTTTGTGGGCCCCCTTCAGTATCATCACAAAAACTCTGATAAAACTGTGTGTCTACCCCAGTGTCATCACAAAAAATAATATCATCTTCGAGAGAATGATGGTTCTCACTGACAAACAGTTGCACCCTATCACTTCTCTCATTGATTTCATTATCTCTAGTATGATCATCATCAATTGACGATAAACATCTAACATAAACAGTTTTTTGTGCAAATAAATGGCACATAACAGCACCATCTAAAACTGTTCCTTGCGCCAAATTTGGTTTCACTAATGTTCCACCGAATGGTATTAAAATTTCGAACTTTACATCACAACCATGTAATTTCTCTGCAAACAAAGTTGAAATATAATGCATAATCTCTTGTTCTGTCCATATTTTCTGAAATGTTGCAGCTGTTACACCATAACCTGAAATAGCAGTATGCCAATTTTTATTCAAGACATTAACACTAAGTGTAGGTACTTACCATTTGCATAAGCCCAACCTTTTTTCAATCCTGTTAATGTTCTCGTGCATTCTGGTTTGGTAAGAAGTATAACATCCCGTTTAAAATCTGATAATACCGTTGAATTGTGTTTAGGTTTTTTTCTTTTTTTGTGTCCTATTAGCTGGCTGTACAGCATTTGAAAGGTTTCTGCTAGGTACTTCCCTATCAGAGCCCCTTATAGATGGAAATAATCTCCGTAGCTCCTCCGCAGGTGAAGAGACAGGTATTCTTGTGGATGTTTGTAAGCTTGTTGCACTCGCTGTTGCATTATTAACCCTACTGGAAGAGGCGCTTTCAATCGAGGAGCGTAACTGGTCACGGAATTCAGTGCTCTGCAAAATCTCTGCCACTACATTCCGCAAATCTTGCGGTGTAGTCTGTACCTGTCCTGAGCTATTCATCTTTAATGTACGTGGCACAAAAACGAGTAATGAAGTTCAAAATTAGTCTTTCAGAGTTAAAATCTTTTCAAACTATCATTTAAATATCTTGCAAAATTGTATTTGTTGTTAGTTTTGTAATCACACTGGCCACATTTCAAATCTTTTGAAACCGAGCGCGGTACGCGGTGTTCTCAAATTACTTTTATGTACCTACGAGTTATACGACATTTGACACATACAAAATCTTTTGAAACGGAACTATTAACGCAGTGTATTGCAAACAGAAATTTGAACAATACAATACACGAATGGCGCGAACTAACGAAATTACGAAACAGCTGATCGTTGAAGTGCGCGTTGTATTGTTTAGTGAAGCGCAAAATGGTTACCACCATACGATTGTTTGAATATAAAAGTCCCTATGTGCACCAGCGCCCTCATTATAATGCGTCATTTCCCTAAAGTCCAATTTTTTTATATCACATGCAACATTTTATATATAGTACGGAATATTATATATCAGGCGGAAAGTTTAATTTTGGCCCAAACGGCGCCTCATAGTTGTCTACCTTGAAGCAGTCGAAATAATTTGTTGTAAAATGTGGTAGACGCACAGAAAACTGTTGTGTGTGGTAAAAGTGTGTAATAGATGGAGTCATTTTTGTAAAAATAAAATACATATACTCAAACCTTACTTCCTCGGCTTCAACGCCGGCCTTTACGTAGATAAGATAAGCGCTCACCGCTCACTTGTATAACATCATAAATTACATGAAAGAGGATACATTTTAATTCTTCATTTTTCGCTTTTCTAAACATTTAAAAAATTGATGGAGCGAATTTGGTTATACAAGGGCGGAAACTAAATTTAGCCTCCACATATAAAATTATGAGGTTGGACAAGGAGAGATTTTATTAGAATAATAAACATAATTTTTGTTTTTCCATAATAAATATATTATTATACCGGGTGGTGACTTGAACAACGCACCATAGGAATTGCAATAGTAATTTTTTCATTTCTGATTATTGACTTCTGTAATTATTTTAGAGAGAAAGTCTATTTAGGTTTTTTGTAGGGAAACAAATTACGAATCCATGCATACTATAGCTTTTAATTTTCTGAACTTTGAATTCCAGAAATTGGATAACTAAAAACTGGCGCTTTTAAGAAAATCAGTGGTGCCATGGCAATTTGAAATCAAACATGGCAAATGCAGGCACTTTTGTTTGATTTCCTAACTCCATGGAATTACCGACTTTATAAACGCGACAGTTTTTAATTTTTAAATTTTTACTGATTCTGAATTTATCAAATACGAAACAAGAGTATTTACCGATTCGTTTATATAATTCGAGGTAAATCTTTCACTCACGCCTTTGACGCTACCGACGAAGGCGACGACGGGCGACTTCACTTCAGCGCCCCCCAGAATTGGCGTCCAGGGCCTGGGCCCCCCCTCGCCCCTCCCCCTCGCACGGCCTTGCCTACCTATATGTATATGTGATATTTATTATAGCATGATCTGTGATAATAACATCACAAAATTTTTTGATTAGGGAAGGGAGCACTTAACGAACTTTATTTATTTTATGTCAATGTGTAGGGTCAACATAGTCCAGCCAATTAGCTCCAAAAGTATAAAGCCAACTGGATGTTGGCATTTCACACAACGAAACCAAGTGTATTCTAAGTAGTTCCCTGCCCGGATTCTCCCGGAACATATTGCTATATACACAAAAAAACCAAGAAAAAATGGAAAAATGCAGTTTTTTTCGCATTTGACTTCCAATTATCTCGTCAACTAATGCTCGAGCTCATAGAAATGAATTTGTTTCGAATAGAATTTTCAGTTGGTACAGAACCGTTCATTTTAAAATGTTATTGTTTTTTCTGGAAAAATACAAAAAAAGTAATCCCAAAAATTAACATTTGTTTTTGTTGATACGCCCTTCTCGATGCTTTGTCTTTCAAACTGGATGACTCCCAGAGCGTTTTCAATATTTTTATGGATGGTGGAACCGTAAAACAACCTATTCCAACAATTGTCTCTGTTGTCCCAATGAGTTTTGCAAATCGACGGACTGTGGAATTAGTTTAGTGGAAACCCCAGAAATAGAACAAGAAAGTAACTTTATAATAGGCCCTTGGCACTCTGTTTAATAAAAATCATCCCAACTGTATCTGATAGAAAAATCGATTCTAAACAAATCGTTCTCTTCATTTTTTCCGTAAGAGGAATAGTTAACGAGATACCTAATTAAGTTAAATGCGAAAAAACGTAATTTTTCCATTTTTTCTTCGTTTTCTTGTGTATAGCAATATGTTCCCGGAGTTTCCGGTCAGCTAGACTGTCATTTACGGATTCAGGGGATTTTTTGCATACAATACACATGGTTTCGTTGAGTGAAGTGACAACACACTAAACCGGCAGACAGTAATAGATACAAAACTATAAACCATCTCGAGGATCGCTATTAAAACTTTGGTTTGTGACAATTTTCGTAGGTAATTGCACAAGTGCATCAAAATTCTCTTTTAACAAATTATGAAAATAACCGAACGCAGTTTTTTACTGATAAGATATTTGAATAAACAAGTAAAAAGGTTTTCGCCCTAAGGCGAGTAACTTCAGCGCATTTTCCATAAATTGATCAATACTTCCCCAAATGCCATACCTATGTGCGCTACGTTTTTCATTACTAGATGCATATATGGTTAAAATGTTAAAGAAATATCTTCATAAATAAGGAAGTTGACACTTTACTGCGCAGTTGATATTGCGCGTCCTGCGCATGCGCTTATTAATCTGATATTTACAATATGCAATACGTTTGCTTTTACTATAAGTATCTTTGGTTAAAATTTCAAAGAAATATTTCCATAAATAAGAAAGTTTGCATTGCGCAGTCTGCGCATGCGCACATCTGATTTTTACTATATGCGATATATTTGCCTTTGCGCAGTTCAATCGTCAAGATTTTCTTTGACTCAGGTGCCAGAGCGATACGCTACCGAATGCAAAAAGAACGAACTAAATATCTTGAAAACTGTAGGACAGACGGACGGACAGAGAAAGTGGCTGCAGTAGCGCACCCAATTTCGTTGGAAAATGCGCTAAAAATTATCAGGTTTATTTTGATGCACGAGTGTAATTCGGGGGAATATTTCCCGAATAGACATTACAAACTCACCTTACCTATTTATCAAATTGTTAAGTGTATTCCCATGAAATGTGCAATTAGCGCAGGGCTCTTTCGTTTTCTACAATGCAATTACCGCCGTAATTGACCGATAATTGCACACCTCAAATGGGATTTATTACATGATGAGGCAAATATTCATTCGAAAATTGCTTATGTTTAGGTTTTCGTTACCCAAGTTAAATGAAGTTAAATTGCTGATTGCAAGATTTATTCCACAAACGGAGAGACAAGTAGGCAAGTAGAGTACGTAGGTATATAAAAAAACACGGAGATTACACTTTTTTTGAGAATTCGAAAAGTGGTGCAAGTTATATCGTTTCTTATGCACCCAAAGACAACGAGTAATACGGTAATTGCGAATATGAAGTGATAATTGCTTTGTATGTGTACCTGCAGTGTTGCCAAGTAGTAAATGACAGAAATCTGAGAATGGCCGCCTGGAAGTCACCAGAAGTCACTAGGTGGTGGAACAGGAAAGAAAGAAAGATAACGAAATTTTTTTGGTGATTTTTTTCTCCAAAATCTAGTGATTTCTAGTAACTTTTCACAACAAAACCACCAATTTTATTATTAAATAAGTATGCAACCAAACGTTCAACATTTGACAAATTCCCTAAAATCACATCATTAGGTTTAGGGGAATTTTTCGAAAGGAAGAAAATTTCCCTTATGTGACGGTGTTGTGCGTCCGTTTGTTCCTCGTATAACTCGAGAACGAAAAGAGACAGCGATGTCAAACCTTTACCAATCGATTTCTACAAGTTCAAGGATCAATGCTATTGAATATGAGCCGAATTAAAAGTCGCGTTTCCGAAAGCGACCTGCCAAAAAATTCCCCTACTGAAAATCGTATGCGATTCTTCGTATCTTGTTTCTTACATAACATAATAGGACTATTTACCTACTTCAGGAAATAGGACTTTTTAAATAAATGAATACAGACTTTTATTGAAAAAACGCGAACATTTCGAAAATTCACAAATTTATATATAATAGCATTGCGGTTTTTCTTGAAATCATCAGATAGTCTTCACATTTATGTTGAAAATCACTAGGTTTTAGACATGTCTGAATCGTGATGAAAAAGTCTGAAATTGATATTGAAATTCACCAGATCTAGTGACAAAATCACCAAATTGGCAACACTGTGTACCTGCAAAGATTATCAGCACTTCGCCCAGATGTAAATATGGGGATTTCTTGCGAGAGTGGGACAGCTTTCTAATAATAAAGTATCAATACTTCTTTCCCTAGACAATTTGCAAAACCATTCCAAAATAAGAAATCTGTAGAAGAACCAACACATTGTTGTATGCGCTAATAGATGGAGCAAAATAGAGGGATAGCAGGTTTTTAAATAAGGGGACATGTGAAACAAAACTTGGCGTGCTTTTTCCCCTTAAGGCTGGACAGTACATACAGAACGGAGTATGTAAAGTTGCCTATTGTCAATCCCCAAATTTGGTTATTTATAATATTAATTTGTGTTCGATGGTAAAAACATAAACTTAGTACAATTATAATGCACATTTTCTATCTGTATAAAACCAGCCACGCGGCGGAAGCTATATTTTCGCGCTTTTTAGAAAAACTTTTAAGTTGTTTTTCCAAGATAACTTATCTATAAATGAAGTTGGAACAATTTCCAAAATTAAGATACGTTCGTAAACTTAATATCTAGGCAATAACGCCAGGAAAATTTATTTCCTTTTTTCTTTTCCAAAATATGACACCCTAACAGCCCTCGACGTTGCCCTTAAAAAAAAGATTATTTTAAAACATTTTAGTAAACCCCGGCATTATTGTCTAGCTAAAGCATTCACCTTTCACAGGAATATTCGACCCCTTCTTCAACTTCACTCAGAATTAAGATATCGTGGAACGTAATCACGCGTTTTCGGGCAACGGAACGGGTGTACTGTCCAGCCTTAAGGTTTGGATTTAGAGAGTATAGGCAACTAGTGATGCACATGTAATGCAATGGGGCGTGCATTGCCTCTGAACTTCATTCACCATTCCATAAGCAAGGGGTGTATATGATCGGAAAAATATGCATTAGGTAGATAGATGTACAGAGCATAGTTTCCATACAATATAAACTGATATTTTGTCCACTAATATATGTTTAAAAAATCCAGAAAACATGCGTCAAAAGAGTTCATAGTTTAGGAATTAATTGCAAAAATTAGGGAGCATTTTAAGCAATACGAATGTATGGGATCGGTAGCGTGAATACTTATCTATATTTTGGCAATTCATGTGAAGCTCAAAAGTTTTCATAAAAAAAGTGGTGAATGAAGTTCTGAAAAATGGGCATGTAAACTGGAGAAATGGAAATAAACTACGCAG